GTCGAACAGGAGGAGGTGGGAAGAACCTGGATAACGGATCATTATAGTGAGCTGAAAAGAGGCAGCTTGCTCTAATTAATGGATGGCTGAAATAAAGTAAGCAGACGAAACAGGCTGCTCCGGTATAAATGAACCGCAAAGAACCCGATACAACCGCAGCGCAGACCAAGGGACTCTTGATGGATCAGAGCCGGCAAAAACCATTGGACGTACATTGTCGTATCAATTTGCCTTCTCTCCCCTCCGCTCCCGCGCTGCGTAACGCCTACATCAGTGGTGAAAGAGATAGACTAGAAGTTCAATATCTCACATGCAGAAGGAGTATAGATTACATTTAATAATTTCCTTTTTTGCACGAAAAGTTGCGATTAGTGCCTGTTCGACGGAATCTTAGAATAGTAGAAGGTATGCTGAGGACCATATAGATATCAAATTGGCTCTCCTCAAAACCTAGAAAGCATTCTTGCGTTTAAATTCTTCATGTTTATGCTCGCAAACTGAGGCTTCTCTCCATTTTAGAAGAAGGAAGTCATTTAACACAAATCTTTAAAGAGAATCTGATGGAGGACATCGGAGTGCAATGGCTACGATTTTTTTTTAGTTATTTAGAATTTATATGTTTTGTAAACTAGTTTAATTTTTATATGTGTTGTTTTCTAAGTTGTATATCCCTTATGGGGTGTTCATGTAGTGTTGTAGCCCGAAGGACATTTTAGTCTTTGTTATTTTTTTTTCATGAGGCCCCTATTGTAATAGGCTTAGCGGTCTTTGTATTGAGAGGATGATGATTATTGTTAAAATGAAAATTTTGGTTTTGGATCTCTTTGTGAGTATCTAGAGTTCTCTTTGTGAGTTCTCAGTGAGGAAAGCCTAAGGAGAGGCTCAAAGCAATACCCAACCAGCCCCTTGGTGGAGCTCTTGGTTTTCTATGCCCCATATCTTTTCTTTTTCTTTCCTTTTTTTCCCCCTCCGAAAGATCTCTTTCAGTTTCCGTTCTCCCTCCCCTCAACTTTGCCGCCACCCCATTGGCCCCCACAAGCCGTCGGCGCCCAAACAGACACCACCTGCCGGCCATCCACCCGTCCCCCTTGGCTCCGTCCCCCCCTCTAGCCGCCGGCCTCCCTCCACGAGGTTTGAAATTTGAAATTTCAAATCCCCCATGAGACATAATTGACTTTCCTTAATTAAATCCTTGATTTTTGGCAATCTTCTTAATTGTGTTTCAATTCAAATCAATTCTTTTGATTGTCATGCATTAGGAAACTTCCCAAAATTGAAACCTGAAATTTCCGTTCAGAATCTTTGATTAAAATCTGTCATTAATTGCGGGCCCCATTTTATTCATTACCAAGCCCCTTTCTCTCTCCTTATGGCCGGCCACCTCACCCCATTGATTCTCTCTCTAATTGCCACCTCATCACCTCTTAATTACCTCCCAAATACCTCCCCTCTCAAACATAATTTCAGTTTATTTCAGATTTCAAATCTGAGATTTGAAAATCCCTGAAATTCTGCTCCACAATTGGCTGTCCAGATTTTTGGACGGGTTCTTTTGCTGCCCCGAATTTCAGGATATGGAAAACTGCTGTTTTGGCCCTTTCGAATTCCCTGTTTTGCAATCCTGAAGGTTCCCATCTACCGTCCATAGACTCCAGCAGGCTTCACGTGATGTTTCGCCAACCTGAAGACCTCCTAGTTGCAGTCCAGCGAAGATCAAAAGCTGTCCAGCCACTGTGAAGGATTCCCACCCGCTGCCCAAGGATTCCAGACCAAGTTTTGGGGCTGTTCTCCCCTCAGAAGTTGCCAAACGACTGTCCACAGTCAACTAAGAGTTGAATGCTGCTGCCAACCATCGTTCAAGTATCCAGACCTTCACAAAGGAGGTTTACATTTTCTTTTCATTGGGTAAAACTCTTCTTGGGAACTCCTCTCTTATGTCTTATTCTTCCTAGTTCATTTCTCGCTTGTGGTTATGTTTGGAGTCATGAGAATCATGATTAATCATTCTCCGCTAAAGCCTAGTAATTAGAAGAGTTGTGTGAGGGATCTTCTTATAGCAACTAATCTTATTGTTAGTATTGGAATTTCTCGTTGAAACCACTCATGTATGCAAAGTAAGATTTAGTTGAATACTTAATGATCTCAACCTCTCGCATGTGTTTAGACCTAAGCTATTTTATCACCGTATCATTTTTATTTTGTCGTTTATCATCAAGAGAAAGCTTATAATTATTGTGCTCTAAAATTTAAGCGTGCAAACTTCCTTAATTTAATCATCCATGCTAATACGTTTCACATCAGAATCAATATTTGATGCCTCACATTTCCAATTATAAACTTCGTTGAGAGGTGGGGTGGGGGTTATTTTGGGAAAAAAACTTGCCCATCCGAATCAATGTTGTGATGCACAAACTCCTCTCCAACTGAGCACTCTAAGCTTCAAAAGCCTCGAAGGGTGAGCCCTCATTCAATCTCAAGTCAAGATGTTGTCTAAACTGAAAACTTGTGAGAAAATCTTATAGCATAAATGTTATACTTTGAAGTGGTATCACTAAATATAAATGTGCACCTGCCCTGGCATTGTCTTGCCCCTTGAAGCGGCTGTCTTCATTAATCTTAATGCTGTAATGGTTCGACTTGGCATACCATGACAGCTTGTGCAACACAAATGTGATATGTCTGATCATCTGTACTCTTCCCATCATCTCATATCTAAACTTGTTTTGGATTTTTCCTACAGACTGGAAGCTAACTCTCATCAGTTTCCTAATATACAATGTTTCACAGTAGGCGAATATATCATTAATGCATCCTCTAAAATTGCCTTTTGGCTTTCACGTCAATCATAAGCCCTTGCAATTCTTGAGAATCTTAGTATTATCACTCAAAGAATCCAAAGACATTTGATTCACCATTAGATCAGCTATACATCTCAACTAAACCAAAGTCCTAGATACACCATCATGTATCATAATACAAATAGTGTGAGACTTATAGGCCTACTCACACTATTAGTTCTCATATACACATGCCATCACATGATTTGTCTCTAAAAAAGGAACTATAATAAACACATGGACATGTTATGCTTAGTCAAGTACCTGCCAATCAATATGCGTATAATTTATAGTCATAGAAGGAACAACATCATGATGTATATTTGTCGTATTTGCATATGCTATCTTGTACTCTTGTACTTGTCACCTATCAGTCGCTCTCTTCATTAAAGCTATAAATTCTTTTGATTTTCCTTTGCATTCAATAGACCTGTCAAAAACGGGTCACGGGTCGGGTTCGGGTCCAACCCGAAATTGACTCGACACTGTTCAACCCGACCCGACCCGACCCGTTTTTGCAAACGGGTCGGTTTTTCGAACCCGACCCGCGTCGGGTCCGGGTCAACCCGACCCGACCCGCTTCGAGTATATTTAATTAAAATTTTTTTATTTAATTCATTTTATTTAAATTTAAATCAAATTAAGGGTAGATTTACTTCAATTAATTTAAAATAAATCAAGATTAATTTAATTTGGGCAATAATATTTATAATTTTTTGAAATATTATTTACTTATTTCATAAAAATTCATTAAAATCCTCCAAAATTAATTAAAAACGGGTCAAACCGGGTCGATTTCGGGTTTCCGGGTCAACCCGAACCCTACCCGATTTTACAAACGGGTCGAAATCTCTAACCCGAACCCGACCCGGTTCGGGTTCGGGTTGACCCGAACCCGAAATTTTCGGGTCGGGTTTTCGGGTCGGGTCCAATATTGACAGGTCTAGCATTCAACAACAAAAATAGGTGTTGTTTGTGCTAGCAGACTTTCCTTTAGAGGTAAACCCTTCATAGATCTCTCCAATCTCTTATCTTACCTTGCTTTTATTCGTCACACTCTAAAAAACTTATAAATCACATCATTTAAATGGATTCTGCACTTCCTCTAGACTTAGGGTATTTTTTCCATGCAATGTGATATTAAAGAGGGGATAAAAGCTTGAGGTTATTGTTGTAATGTGATATATATGGAAATGCTTATACGAGGGAGTTAAATAGTACAACAATAATAAAACTCGATCATCATTATCCATAGTGTCACGTCAATAGTTTCCAAATAACGAATCATATAATTAAATTTATTTACATGTGACTTGATTGCATTCATTTTTGCATTCATAATCAATACAATATTTACTTCTAATAGTTTGTTAGAGAGATATTTGGTCATGAATAGAGGCTCTAGTTTGAGCCATAAAACTTATATGGTTGTCTTCTAAGTCTTCCATCAATACATTCTTTGATAACCACAACTAGATCATCATGATTAACCACCTTAAAAAACTTGGTTAGAAATTATTTTTAATAATATATTTTACTAGATTTAAATGAAAAATTGACTCATAATAGGACACAATTATATTTGTCAACGGTGAATGGCGCACTACGGTGCAAAGTTCCCCGTGGAACTATGGTGGATAGCGCACGGCACGGCATGCCATTTTAAACTTGTCGCACAATATAAAATAATAAAAAAATATATATTTAGTAAGATTTAATAGCATTAAATAACAAACAATAGGTTGATTAGAGCAAAATCTAAGCATAAATATTCTGCCAAACAACAAAAAATGATTACTTTAAATCATACAAAATTTTACATCGATAGATTTAAGTAGCATTTAAGCATATCCTAAATCCTGCCAAACAACAAAAATGACAGCTTTAAATCCTACAAAAAAGTTAAGTCTTATAATTTTTTGTGATATTTGTTAATTTGATATTTAATTAATTAATAATTAATTGTGATTTTAATATATCCTTGGTTTGCCTTGTTCTTCAGTAGGTGAAAAAGAATTTTAGTTAATAATTTAGGCGAGGTCAAAGTTACTTGGATAATGTGTATTTAATCCATTATGTTTTTGAGATTTTTTTGCACTTATTATTTGAGTTGAAAAGTTAGTACTATTCTTTTAATTTCTTTTTGAACCTATCATTGTTCAGATCATTCCGTATCTTTCAGTCCTCTTGTCATTTGTATCCTTCAAAAGTGCCTCAGGCTGCTCGAGTCAGATTCTGAAACCTTAAAGTTACATGAGAGTTCTCTGATTTCTTTATATGTGGGCAATACATTGAGATTAATTATGCAATCTCAGGTATGAGTTTTGTCACCCTTCTGTGATTTTCTTTTTTAATTTCATTACATGCTTTTGATTGATTTATGGCTGGTAGGTGGATATGAGAACGCTACCTAGTCTCATATATATGCTTCTATATGAAATATTTGAAGATCATTCTTCAGCAGATGAGAATCCAAGGAATTCCCTGTGTGAATGGAGGCCGTTAAAAAATCTGTTTGGCTTTGCTTGCAATATTTTAGATGAACAGGTCTGCGTCTTGCATTCTGTTTCTGGTTATAACTTTGAAAAAAGTGAAGACTCTTTCTCTTCAGTACTTGCTGATGTGGAAGAACTTCTAAGACATGCACAAGGGGAAAGGGTAGATGGATTGGCTGTGGCCTTCACATCATCTATTCTATGTGCTGCTCCTGATGATATACTGGTAAATCTTCCTTCTATTCTAGCCATTATGCAGCGAAGTTTCCCAACACATCTACCATTCTTGAGTTCAGTATTTTTTCAAGAACCTAAGCTTCTTGTTAATATTAGGGAACTTTGGCCCAAAATGTTCATTTCTGGTTTTGAATTGATTAACCAAGCAGTTGACCGTAGTTATGGAGGAGATGTTGGGTATGAATTCTCAAGCAATGAGTCAATATTGGCAACCAATCTTGATTCCATGGAATTCTCAGCTTCTGCATTCTGCTTTTTTCTTAAGCACTCTCCATTCTATGTACTATTGCCATCAATCTTGAGCTTCGCTACTTGGGAATCACATTCAACTGGAATTCAGGAGGTTTTTCCTTCAAATAAAATGCTAGAGTTGCTTAAAGTCAAGGTTTCTGAAGACTCAATTGACGACTCTATCTTGCATCTGAAATATGTGCTGTTTTGGACTTACCATATGTTCTTACTGTACAAAGAAAAGCAATCCGATATCATCAGTGAATTGCTCCTAATGTGTATTACTGTTGTTCAAGATTTAATGGATCATCTTCTTGCAGTGATGTTCAACCAAGCTGATTTAAAAGTTTGCTATCTTTCTTCAGTTGGACAGTATGCACAGTTTATTGTTGAGCTCATCTTTTGTCATCCCATTGTGACCCTGTACATCTCAAATCCTTTGTATTTCAGCAGGAAATTTACAACTGCAGCTTTTGGAATTTCTCTAGACTCTTTTCTAACTACTTTTAAACAAAACATTCATTCTATAGACCAATGCATGTTACAGTTGTTGAGGAAGCTTTTTGAGTTTTTGTTTGTTTTGAGTGGCGCTATTAGTTCATCTGAAATACATAATTTTGATTGGGAGTCACTTATAAGAGTTAAAAACACGCTGATACAGAAGATTTTGCTGGCTTTCAGAGAGGAGTTTGAGCTACTTGTTGTTAGTAAAAATACAGGACGTTTTCTCGCTATATTTTACATATTTCTGTCCTTGATGGAATTTATTTCACTCTACGATTTATTGGACTTGGTACATTGGATGTTCTGCAAAATTGAAAGCAACTTTTCAGACGACACATCACCATTGGAGTATGCTGTTTCTGTTGGCTTGTATATTGCAGATGGTTCACTAGATATGCTATACAGCCTTCTACAGGAGTCAACATCAAAGTTCAAATCTAATATTTTTTTGGAAGGATTAAAAAGTTTTGACGCATCCCTTGTTCCGAAAATTTTTTATAAGATAATTGACTTCTCTTTATGTTTTCATCTAAACAAATCTGATATCTGCTTACTAAAGACTGTGAATGTTGTATATTATCATCGACGCATGAAACCTTCAAATGCTCTCCTCCCATTGCATGTATTGCTATCTAGCATGATCTTTAACATTCCTGTGAAGATGCTTATTTATTGCATCTATTCTATCAGTAAGATTAATGCAAAAACAGTGTTGCTGCTTACTGAAGTCAGTCCTATTCATATGCGCCTCTTTGGAAAAATATTTTTGGCAATTTTAGACAATAGTCTGTCTGCAATGGATGTTTCAAATGCTGGTGTTATGCGACCATGTAGGGGTAAAATGACCAGCAATTCAAAAGACCGCTTTTCAAATGACGATCTTTTGCTTCTTTTGCCTGTTGCTTTATCATATTTCGTTTCTTCCTTAGATAAACATGGAGAGCAGGGTTTTCAACCTTTTATGAAAATTCCCCTCACTTATGCAAATATTCTTTTGGACGGTTTCTCTACTTGGGACGCCTTCGTCTCGCAGGAGATTTTCCAGGAAGATGTTGATGAATTTTCACCACACTCTTTGGAGGAATTTAACAAATTTTGCTGCAACTCCTTAATTGGGAAGGCAATTGGCATGCTCCATTATTTTTTTGTATTAAATGGGAGTTCGGTTAGATGGAAGAAAAGGTTGAAGCTATTTGATAGTATATGCCCTCAGTCAAGCTTTTTTGATGGACATTTAAGTTGTGGCGATGAGGGTTTGGACGCTTGTTCATATAAGGAGTCTTTGAAGGTGATTAATGAAGTTGCTGCTAAGGTATCCTTTATGAGGTTGCTCTTATTTTTTCCAGAGTGTTCAATCCAGTCTATGGGCTTCTTGGAGGATGAAAGTGTCAAGCACATATTCATGGGAAAGGAATCTGGCCAATTGAACCAGGCAAAACTAAGGTTTATGAACATCCTAATCAATACGTTGGACCATATTTGGAAGCAGTTTCCCCTGAAAGTAGATAGCTCAGTAGCAGGTTGTGCCACCAACTGTTATGTAGTATTTAGATTCCTAGAGAATTTAATTTTAAAGGAAATTGTCAAGTTGTCCAAGGAGATGCATAGCTATTTGATTGAAATCTCCTCTTTTTCTTTTGCGAATGGTTTCATAAGGTCATCTCTTCTCCACAGATTTGAGGATTATGCTACACTAAGAGGCATTCGTTGCTTTCTTGTTGCATTGTCAGGTTCAAAGTTTTCCTTTGGTGATGTTCTTGAGCTTCTGATTGGTCACTCTGCTTTCGTGAAAATTATTTTATCGAATCTTCCTATCTCTGATTCTTCTGTTTTCTCCAGTGGGGCATTGCTTCAGCCACTTAACAGCGTTCTGAAACTAGTTGATGTTTCTTGTAGTCTACAGAATATCCGTCATAATGAACCATCTCCCAAAGTGAGGCGTGATTGTTATTCTGTTGAGGATGTAAAACTTGAAGTAGTGAGGTTACTTAGAATATTATTTCATCTCAGGGATGGGACTGCTAGAATGGGTTGCTTCAATTCAAAAGAATTGCTTTCTTTGCTTTTATGCGGCTATAGTGCAACCCAAAGTCAGATTGACCTTGAGATATTTCATCTAATGCAGGAGATAGAGTCACTTGAAGGGCCAGATAATGTGAACTTGGAGGCACTAGATTATATGTGGGGTGTTGCTGCCTTGAAAATGAGGAAGGAGAAAACTCATGATATATTATTACCATCCAATGGGACATCTGATTGTGAAACAATTGAAGAACGAAAGATACACTTTAGAGAGAACATTCCAGTTGATTCAAAAGTATGTGCTGTCACAGTACTGCATTTATGCAATGATAGATCATCACGCATTTCATTGTCTCTGGAAAGTCTTTTAGAAGACGCAACTATCAAATATCCAAAGGTCAATTTCATAAATTTTATATAATATTCCATTGTCCTATGCTTTGATGCATTCTGATTTTTCATCAAAATTCTTGATGCTATATCTTGTTGATTATCACAGATAGTGGCATCTTCAGGGAAAGACATCATTCAACCATATGATCCATCATTTATGTTACGGTTTTCAATTCATAGTTTATCAATGGGATACCTCGAACCTGTAGAGTTTTCTCGGCTTGGCTTACTAGCAGTTACATTTGCTAGTATATCTTCATCTGATGGAGAAGTACGAAGGCTAGGGTATGATTGCCTCGGAAGGTTCAAGATTTGTTTGGAGGTGAGCATTCCTCAAGCTATTATACTTGGGCTAGTTGAGAGGCACTTGACTCACCATCATAAGAATTATATTTTCCGTATACTTTGCACTTGCTTGTAACCTAAAACTTATGAGGTACTGTAATACATCAACAATATTTTTGGGCAACATAAAGTTTAAGCAATTGGTCATGAATATGTAAAGCACTAGTCTAATAATTGTTTTACTTATTTTAGGTATATCGGTTCTTTAGAGACATGTTGGCCGACCTATGTATTATAAATACCTCTCTAATTGTAAAGACTTAGCATTGAATAAATAATATTTTGGTTTCCCCCTTTCTTGTCTCTATTCCCTTCCCTTCTTCTCTAAGGAGTCTACACCTACTCGAATAGCCTTCTTGATGTAGATCAAGAAGCATATAAATGGTGCTTTTCGTTGAGAGCAACATCATGCTATTGCAAGAGGTTTCTTCTATCAGCAGTTCCTCTTCCTTTCCTGTGGTCCAAAAATCAAATTCTGCACATCTCATCTTCCTGCAGCCGCAAATTGCCTCCAGCTTCAGCAAACAGCCTCCAAGAAATGTTCTGGACAGTTCTTTCAGCACCCTGCCTTCAGCCTCCTAACAGCCTCCACACCATCTCAAGTTCAAGAACCATTCAGCCACACCTGATCCCGTTTTCCGCTGCTGATCCTGTATCCAGCAGTTAACAGCTTCTGTTTACAGCAATTTTCTTCCAACAGTTGTATCCAGCCCTTCTTCTCAGCCCAAGACCTGCAAGAACATCACCTGTCCACCTCTTGTAGCTTCTGTTTCAGCCACATCAACCACCGGATTGCAACCGCTGTTTTCAAGAAACAACAACCCTTGATTTCTTCTACATCCATGCTGCTAACTACTGCTCCTTCAGCCTCTAGAACCACCAACTTGCCTCAGCCAACTTCTTTTACTCCATCCAAGACCTTCAAGAACAACACTGGGCTTTGTTTTCCCTTCCACTGGTGGCGGTACAGCATCGCCGAGCCATATTACAGTCCAGGCAAACGACAATTTATCCTTATCACAGAATCCTTTATTTATCTTTCTTGTAATTGACATTTCAGACCATTTCTACATTGCAAGAAGCCATAAGGTGCAGGTTATTGAAATCAAGAACTCCATCTTGAATCGTATCAAGCCTCATCCAGGCTCCGGTAAGCTTCAAATTCAATCTAAACAAGAGTTCAACAGGGAAACATATTGACAAATAAAATTTTGTCATCGATTTAAGATGATGAATGCAAACTTGGCGGAGGCTTTGTGTACATTGCAATCACATCAAGAATCACAATTTCCTGAAATACAAAAGTATCTACAACAAGCGAATGTTTACTTTGCCTTCATTGGCTCATCACTTCAACAAGTCCATGCTTGCATGCATTCTATTGATAAGAAACTCTATAGTTTGTACATTGAATGGCCACCTCCTCCACTCTATCAAGATCCTTCCTCTTTCGCCAACATCCTTGGATCCTCCGAATGAATCCCTTCTCCACAACCGCCATTTTCTCTGACCATTGACCATTGTATTCATCTCCCATTCTTATCTTAACTAGTTAATATTTTTTCACATTTTCACAAGAATGCTATTCATATTCTCAGCTCTTTTTCCTTTGGTGTCTTGTTCATAAACTGGATGGTACTTGGTATTTTTGCATTAATTCTAGAGCTCTTAAAATACTTATCATTTAAAGATAAATTCCCTATGCTAATAGTCCATAAATTTTTATTACATAGAGCATTTTTTTTCCGAACTTTATTTTCGTTCTACCTCTTAGCAAGTGAGGATCCATCCAAAAAATGTTCATCAAACTGTTCATGAACTCCAAATTACTCCTTTTTTTTTTCTCCTACATTTTTTACAACTTCTCAATCAAGCTTTGTTGGCAAGAGAAAATAAAGTTTCAGATGATGCCGCATGGAAAAATTTGGCTACGCTCTCTTCATCTTTTCCTTGTCTAAACCTTGAAGACAAGGTTGTTTTTCATGGCGATGAGAGTGTTATACATCAACAATATCTTTGAGTAGCATAAAGTTTAAGCAATTGATCTACAAATATGTAAATCACTAGTTTAGTAATTTTTTTACTTGTTTTAGGTAGACCGGTTCTTTAGAGACATGTTGGTCTACCTATGTATTATAAATACATCTCTAATTGTAAAGACTTAACATGGAATGAATAAAATTCTGGTTCCCCCCTTTCTAGTCTTTTCCCTTCCATTCTTCTTCTCTAATGACTCTACACCTACTCGAAAGATGCCCAAGCCTTCTTGATTTAGTTCAAGAAGCATATTAGGTACAGATCATTTGAGTGAAGATTATAATTTGGCTCTTCAAGTTTGGTGTAATAAAACTTGTTGGGATTAATCTGGTTAGGTTGTGAATGTGAATTAATATTGAAACTTTGGGTTTATCAACTATAAATAGTAACACATTGGACCAATCATCAAATTTTAGAGAGTTTTAAATGTGTATTGATCATCAAAAGCACATCAAAGTTCTTTAGAAATGCATAAATAGTGACCTCATCAAAGTTTTTTTTTTTAGTTTAGGTGCGTGGATGTGTTGTGGACATGCAAGGAAGATTTCTATCCAATGGAAAGGGCATGTTTATTACTTTTTCTCCATCATCCTTCCAACTTCTCCAAATCCAAACCCAATAGCTTGCAACTTCGAACATCTCCATTTTATCTACAATCCTATGCCAATTCTCTAAGAAATAGTTGATGAGGTTGTTAATTTGACTCCTCATCATCATTAGCCTTATTTTAACTATTTAGGCTGGCTTTATGAATTATCATTTTTCATTCTTGTTGAGTGTTGCGTAAGATGTTGAACATATTATTTGTAAATCATTTTGAAAAGCTTATGTTATGTAACCTTAGGTTTACCTCTTCTCCTTCATAACTTTCACACTGATTTTATTTAATTGTCTAACTAGCTCATTTTCTACACTTTGTTGTGCATATCCGAGCCACCTAACTTTATTGTCAATTGCTTTTTTCAATATATGTCACTCAAATCATTCCTCTAATATTATTATTATTTTAATTCCTCTAATATTATCATTCTATAATTATCTTTTTTTAGGTATCATTTCAATCATTCTTGATTAACTTTAATCTATGGCACTCCAACTATTTTTCTAATATATTTATTACTCATAACACTTTTTATAAGGCTTCTTGTTTTCTTATAATTATTAAAATCCTCGTTAGTACTCAATTTTTTTTCACCATTTAAAGGGGCATTTATTTTCCTTAATGTTCTTTTGTATCTCCTCATTTGACCGCCAAGTCTTTCTATTAGATCTATTTCTAGACTTTTCTAAAACTTATATGACAATATTATAATGGAAGTAATCATCTTATCTCAGATCATTTAGCTCAACTAAAAAATTCAAGTTTACCTCTCTTAGCAATCTATCATGAATTAATAATAGTTTCTCACCTTCAAATTTCACCAAGTTTCCTTATATGTGTGTGTGTGCGTGAGATTAAATTGAGCTAACCTATCTAAGTCTAGCTTGGCTCAGGAAATGTTTGATAAGTTTGTGCTGATTTTGAGTCCGTGTCAAGATTGGCCTGCTAACAAACCTAATGTTAGATTAAAATTGATATGAGAGAATTGAGGATCCAAAAATTTCTTCCAGAATCCAAAGTTGAAAGGCGTTACTAGTTCCGAACGGATTTAACAATATTGTGATCTTCATCATTTATAATCTTCACGCTTTTACTATGAATGCATGCTTTTTTTACTTCAGAATTTATATTGACATTAGAAGATAAGTTTTTTCTCTGAGTTTTACCTTACTGAAAATCCATGAAGGGAATTTATAAAACTAGCAAAAATGATAAGACCACATTACATCTTTATTATACACATGTAGGGGTTCTGGTTGATGTAATATTGACAGAGGTATATATGCATGTCAACTGCTGGATTTGTTAACTCTTCATGTGGATCAGATTTTGGGTTTTTGAATTATTTATTTTTATACTTATTTTTTGACTGTCATGTGTCAGAAGAGTCGAAAAGGCAAGGATTTGTTGCAGCTGCTGCTTCTTTTGACATACTTACAGAATGGCATAACAGAAGCATGGCAGGAAATTCCATCAGTTTTTGCAATATTTGCTGCAGAAGCTTCTCTCACGTTATTGGACCATTCACAGAATTATTTCCTTACAATAAGTAAATTCCTAATGCGTTTCCCTAGGGTGAACTTGAAGGTAATTTTACTTAAAATAGTCGGAATAATTTGTTTGTTTTTTCCTTGAGAATCACGGAATTTGCTCTGCTAATTTTTGCTCATCCTTTTGTATTATTGACCGTTGGAATTATTCTGTTCAATGGCTATGTATTTTGTTACGCAGGCTATTCCACTATTTCATACATTGTTTGGAAGCAGATCTATCCATTTCAGCACAGAACGTTTATGGATTCTACGTCTATTGTGCGCTGGGTTGAATTCACCTGATGATGCGAAGCTTTACTTGAGAAATAACGTCCTGGATGTATTATTAAGCTATTCTTCTTCCTCACTTGCAGATTATGAATTTAAGATTCTCACGCTCATGGTAATGTTGAGTTCACCTTGAATCTTGAAACAGTTTATTCCAGTTTTGCATGAAACATTTATCTTATAATTTTGTTTCATAGAAAAAACCAAAATATCTTATTGTGGCTATAGATGTATATTTAAGAGTATGAAGGAATTAATCAAAGGAGATTGTTTCTCCAGGATAAGGTGGCGGTATTTGAAATGTGAGATATTATTAATTTTTAAGATAATTTGTAAAATGAGGCAAAATGTAATTCTTTACGTGAGGTAAACTTTCCATGGGTTATGATGACTAGTTCCCTTTACAAGATTGACATATAAGTTTTACGAGCATCTAGTAATATTAAATCATACACTAATGAAGAGACCTGATGCTGGAACACACACACATATCAAAGTGAAATGTTATAATGAGTTAATGATATGAATACGTCAAGGGAAATTTGGCAAAAATTACCCGAGAAAAAGAAATGTATGTCAGATAAGCTATAGATAGCATGAAAGCTTAGGATGTTAGATCAAAGATAATTGGTTTGATTAAATGTGAAAAAAATGTGTGAAATAGAGTTGAGAATTGATGTAATGTTATAGAATAATAATTGGAGTAGGAAGTTCATAAAGTAGACTAAATATTTGGGATATGCCTGATGATTATAATATTTATATTCTTGAGTGGAATGATTGTGGAATGAGGTGCTTATATTTGCGATCAATAATACCATGTTATTTTTGTGTAACGGGAAATTGAATTGATGTGAATACCCTTGTTAGAGAGTTATTGAAATTCATATTGTTATATTCTCTACTTCCATAGGAATATAAAATTCTAATAGGCTTTTGTAGTTATTTTTCCTCCATATTTTTGAAGTGAATTAATTTTTTGAATTGTATTTGATTTATGTTAGTCATCAATATGATAGTAAATACTTGAGTTCGCAAGTAACCCTAAGGTAATACTTGAGTTTGAAAGCAAACCTAACCCAAATTGAAGTACCAACAGCAAAGATACTGCTGTTTGCATCAGCAAAACCGCAAAAACAGTGGGAAAATAGAGAAAATCTGAGGTGGAATATGAAGAAAATCAAACAAAGAACTTGTATTCCACTAGTAGTTGAATAAAAACAACAAACGATATAATTTTCTTCAATTCGAGAGGAAGAACAACTCTCCAAAACTCTCTAGCAAAGCCTAGAGCCCAAAACCAAGATGAGAACTCCAAATTTCAGCAAATCTCAAGATGAAACTCTAAATCACACATTAACTCCTAATTAAAGATAAAGGACAATTACAAATTCCCTAATCAGCCCCTAATTCAAAAATTTTCCTCCCAAACTTGGATTTAACCCAAGTTGGGGCCCACAGGGCTTCCGCCCCCTGCCTGGTTCCACCTGGAATAGAACCAGACTGGTACAGGCTGGACCGGTCTAGCCGGCCCCTCCTTGGCCGGCCTAACAATACTCCCCTTCCAAAGACTCACCTTGTCCTTAAGGTGAAATGAGGGGAATTGGTCTTTCATCCTTTTAAATGGCTCCCAAGTAGCATCAAAGTCGGGAAGGCCTCTCCATCTAATAAGTACTTCTTTGTTTTCCTCTTTATCTGATCTCACTCCTATAAGCTCCAATGGTTCTAACATTACCTCTAAATCCTCGATCAGTGTAGCTGGGAGTTTTGTGCTAACTGCATGCTCACCTTGAGCTCTCTTCAACTGGGACACATGGAAAACTGGGTGTATGGTGGCTAATGGTGGTAACTTCAGTCGGTACGCCACTGCTCCGATCATGTCTAACTCCTCATAAGGGCTGAAGTATCTTGGAGCCAGCTTCTCATTCTTCCTTCTCGCAACTGTCCTTTGCCTTTAGGGGCGTAGTTTTAGGAACACCTTCTCCCCCGCCTCAAATTGCATGTCCCTCCTATGTGACTTAGCCTGCTTTTTCATGATTTGTTGTGCCCTCAGTAGATGCTTCTTCAACTCTTCCATCACCTTATCCCTTTCCTCCAAGTACTGCTCAACTGAAGAAAATGGTGTGCTTCCCTTCCCATAGTGCACTAGGTGTGGGGGGTCCCTGCCATACTCGGCCCAAGGTAACCACTTCGCCCACATCCACGGTGTTTCAGAGGAAAAACATCTCAAATATGTTTTCAAGCTCTGGTTCATCACCTTTGTTTGTCAGTCTGTCTATGTATGGTAGGCGGTACTTCTCTTGAGAATAGTGCCCTGCATCCTGAAAAGCTCCCTCCAAAACTGGCTAAGGAACATTTTGTCTCTATCAGACACAATCGACTCAAGAATCCCATGTAATCTCACCACTTCCCTGATAAATGCTGCCGCTACTGATACTGCAGTGTAAGGATGTCATAAGAGAATAAAATGAGCATACTTGCTAAGTCGGCCCACCACTACAAAAATGATTGTGAATCCCTCTGAGTGGGGGAGGCCGTCAATGAAGTCAATAAACACTTCCTCCCACACTTTGTTTGGAAGTGCTAATGGTTGAAGTAGCCCTCCTGGTGCCATCGCCTTATATTTATTTCTTTGGCACACCTCACACATTGCAACAATCTCTTCAACATCCTTATACATCCCCTTCCAATAAAGCTCCGATGCCAGCCTTCTATATGTCTTCTGTACTCCTGAATGCCCCCCAACTGCACTGTCGTGAAATTCCTGTAGCAAGTGGGGAATGTGTTATGATGTTTGTGGCATCACGAACCTCCCCTGATGTAACAACCTCTCCCCCTCCAGGTAGTACCCCGAATGGCTACTACTATCCTTCCTCAAGTTTTCCTTAATCTTCTTCAACTCCTCGCTCTGCAGGATTTCTTCCTTGATGCACCCCGCCAATTAACCATCAGTGGTACTGAAGCTGTTAACTCCTGAAGTTCCCTAACACATCTGGATAAGGCGTCGGCCGCCTTATTTTCCACCTCTAGTCGATACTGGATCTCAAAGTCATAGCCCAAAAGCTTTGACAGCTACCTTTGATATTCCTCAGTCACCATCCATTGCTCCAATAAGTATTTCAAACTCCTCTGATCCGTACGAACAATGAAGTGCCTTCCTAAAAGATAAGGGCGCCATTTCTGAATGGCTAAGATGATGGCCATCAGCTCTCTCTCATATACTGACTTCAACCGAGCCCTAGTCGATATCACCTGATTGAAATATGCTATAGGCCTGTGATTTTGCATCAACATTGCTCCCAAGCCATACCCTGATGCATCAGTCTCCACTATAAAGATCTGGCTGAAATCTTGAAGAGCTAACACTGGAACCGTCATCATGGCATTTTTCAACCTCTCAAAAGCCTGGGTTGCCTCCTCTCCCCATAAAAAATGTCCTTCAGTTGCTCAGTCAAAGGCCAAGCGATGATACTGTATCCCATCACAAACCTTATGTAGTAACCAGTCAAACCTAGGAAACCCCTCAACTCCCTTATGTTCCTAGGCATTGGCCATTTCTGCATTGCCTCAATCTTGGACTGGTCGGCTGCCACTCCCTCATGAGACACTATATGTCTCAAATATTCCACCCTAGATTGGGCGAAGCTGCACTTCTTTAGGTTAGCTTTCAGCTGATGTGCCTGTAGAATCTTAATAAACTCCTTCAAATGCTCTAAGTGCTCCTCCTCTGTTTGCCTGTACACCAGAATGTCATCAAAAAAGACCAACACAAACTTCTTGAGATGCTGCCGGAACACCCTGTTCATCAAAGACTGAAAAGTAGCAGGGGCGTTAGTGAGGCCAAATGGCATCACTAAGAACTCATAATGCCACTCGTCCGTCCTGAAAGCCGTCTTCTGAATATCCTTCTCCTTCATTCTGATTTGGTGGTATCCTGACTTCAGGTCCATCTTAAAAACACTACTGTTTCGTGCAGCTCATATATTAACTCGTCAATCACCGGAATGAGGAACTTATCCGGTACTGTCTCTTTTTCAATGCCCTGTAATCCAACTCCTATCCTTCTTTTTGACTAGTAAGACTGGGCTAGAGAAATGACTCACGCTGGGTCTGATGATCCCTGCCTCCAACGTTTCTCTAATCAGCTTCTCAATTTCATCTTTTTTAATCTGGGGGTAGCGATAAGGTCGGACACTAATCGGTGACACCCCATTCTTCAGAATGATTGCATGCTCCTGCTCTCTGGGTGGTGGTAAGCCCTGAGGTGGCTAGAACACCTCCCTGAACTGCTATATGAGCGGTTGCACCACTAGTGAAATGTCTCCCTTATCCCCCACACTAACCCTCTCTAAGTACCGCAGCTTTACGAGATATCCACCTCCCACATTCTGTATGGATTTTATCATGGATTTGAGAGATACCCCAGCCTTGGTCAGCCCAGCAGCATCCTGAATCGTCCTCCTTCCCCCTCTCACCAGTTCCATCCTCAATGTACCCCAATTGATCTTGGTCTCCCCCAATATTTGCAACCACTTCATCCTTAGGATGACATCAGTACTCTTCAATTCCAAGGGAAGGAAGTCCTCCCTCACCTGGATCCCCTGAATCATCAGCACAACTTCTCTAGAACTCCTCTACCCATTTCCACCTTTCCCATGCCCGTCATCATCCCATAGCCTTATGTATCCACTAACTCCATCCCAAGTAGCTCAATGATCTGGGTGGAAATGAAATTGTTGGTTACCCTACTGTCTATCAACACCACCACCTCACGGTCAGCTATCTCTCTTTTCACTTTCATAGTGTGACTCGGAGTGAATTCCACTACAGAGTTCCGAGAGACTTCTGCCACATCCAGATGCAACTTCTCCTCCTCTTTAGACCTGCTCCCACCTCCCTCCTTGTCTTCCTCGCCTTCACAGACAAGGAGAACTTGAAGAGTTCGGTCCTTGCACCTATGCCCCGACATGTTTTTCTCATCACATCTGAAGCACAACTCTTTTGCCCTCTTCTCCTGCATCTCCTTCTCCGTTAGCCTTTTGAACTGCCCCTTGTTTTCCCCTCCAGTTTTCTCCTTTGGCACTTCTTTCAGACTCCCTGGTACTGCCCCTTTTG